TCCGCTGCCTACCTCTGTTCTAAAATGTACATCAACCAGCTAAGAACTTCCGCTTCCCACCTGCAGATAGGTAATTTGGTGAAAATACTTAATCAAGCTCCTGTGCTATATTTAACTCAATAGACAGTCCCGCAGGTGAAATATATTCAGTTGATGAGAAATAAAGAAACAAACTTGATAGCAAAACAGGCTATCAAGTCACAAAATAATATGCCTTTGGCAGCAAGTTTAACATCATCACAAATCACACAATAGTTCAGTCCTTTAACTGATAAAGGACAGAAATATGGTGTAATGCTGACCCCTGCAACCCTATATTTTTATGGTCCAACTGGGTTTCTGTCAAGGGCCGTCTTTGACACAGAGGGTTGGCTGGGCAGGAGGACACTGAAGCTGCAGGACTCCACACTAACAGCTCACAGCTCCTACAGCCTGCCTGGCCTGTGCTTCAGGTCACTCCGTCTTGAGGCGTGACCACAAAAAACACTCGGGACACAACAACTGTGTAGAAGATGACCCTTTGAAGTCAGTATAGTATATTTTCTTTGAACTACTTCACTACAAGCTATGTATGTTCTGACTACAGTGGAGCTCCCACAAAGGGTCAGACCTGAATGAAAAGACCTTTGCTCTGATTTTTCAACAGTTGTCTTCTCTCCCCAAATTTTGCCTGTAAGTGCCACAGTCTCTCACAGGCAGACAAATACGGGCAAAAAAGTGCAAGAGCAATTTAAGAATCCTCCACATCCCACATGGAGATGTTTATTTCCTAGTGCTTTTGACTCTCCAGAGAGAAGCCTGCTGTTCATTTACATGGGAAAGAACAATGAAAAGGAACATAGAGTGATAGATTTCAGTTACCAAACATGGCATGGTGTGTTAACTCCTCTTACATTCCTAGGATTAAATAGAAAAAAAAAAATCTGTCTGCCTGCAGAAAATCTAGAAAAGTTATTATCTGAGTAACACACAACCTACTATGAGTACATTGCTCAAGAATAGTTCCAGCCGTAAAGCTACCATCACACTAATAATTAAAAAAAAAAATTAGAAAAGAAATGCTGTCTCCAGAGATTCTCAAAGATAAGGGTAAATTTAAACAATTGTAGCTATAAATCTAGACATTTCCTATCTCTCTGAAACGCATTATTGCATCCTCGGGAAAAGTGTATACTAAGTACATTGAAGCACTCAATTTCAAAGTAATTGAGTAGTGTTAGGTACCACTAAAAATCTTATAGGTGTGTTTTAGCGCTTAATGTTAAGGATTAAATACATTAATTTTTTTCTGGCATGTGAATTATTTCAGTATGATACAGTTTCCTATATTTTTGTGCCACATTCACAACAATAGCACATTAAAAAGTTCTCGTATACAGTTATCACTGGATTGAACATTGTGAATTTTTAGATTTTGCCACTATATGGGTAAGTTACCCAGTTCACCATGCTTCAGAACAAAACAAAGAGAAACTGTACTCAGTGTAGTGTCTTCAATTTGGCTGGGTTTACAGGGTGATTTTGAAAAAAAATGTATCACTTGATATGAATGCCTTGCCTGCTTCCTGCAGTAGAAGCAGCAGCAGCTATTAGCACTCTTCCTTAGTCCTGGCTTGGCCTCCTCTCCAACACTGCACCTCAAACGCCATCCACTTCCAGGACATTTCTGTTTCTCTTTAAGGACATTTCTGTTTCTCTTTAAATGGTGACACACGCCACTTGCCTCAGCGGGTCAAAAGAAACCTCAGATGTTTTGTCAACAGCATCAGCTCTTGTCAAAATGTTGGGTACCTCTACCAGTCTGTAGACCTCAGACAATTCAGAAAATAAACTGGGCACAGAGGTTGAATTACCCTCTGTTATGAGGAGACACACTTATTTCAGAGTGTGGTTCAGATGGCTACTATGACAAAAACTATTGCAGCAAGCACAGTTGTATCTCTTCTGGAGAGGGGAAAAAAATCCAAAACAAACAAAAAAACCTCAAATTGCAAAAAATTGCAAATTTTCAACCAAAATGACTAAAGGGAAAGAAAAGGGAAAAGTGGGATCTCTCTCCAGTGCTCCGTGCACCCTTCATATATTTTCCATGCAACGATAAACCACTTTTACTTAAAAAAATGCCATATCAAAAAAAGTGTTCCACTACGAGCTAACAGACTCAGAATAACTGCACATGGTTTCTCACATGAAATGGTGAATATAGCTAATATTATTGAGGACTTGTAAAGCAAATGCAGGAAATGGGACACCCTACTTTTGCTCTTGGTAACAGAAAAAATTTTGTCATACTTACTGCAAAATACCGGAAAGAAAAATGGAACCAGAAAGGGAAGGAGAAAATAAATAAATAAATACAACATCATTAAATCTAGTTTGAATCATGTGGCAAAGAAATACATTTAAGCAGAACTAGAATAATGTAATAACAAGGATGCAGCTCTTGTTAGAATACAAGCAAGGCTGAAAATCACTTTGCATAGTAGCCTTGTGATGACAATCCTAAGGCAACTGCTTCCTGGAATACTTTCCACTTGATCTGGCTGAACAAACATTGGGGAATTTAACTGGGGAAAGATAAGTCTGTAGATGATCACAACTCTGCAGTTGTCACTGTGGTTGGCCTAAAGACTTACAGAAGCATGAGATGGTTTGCTTTTTGTGCTTGGCAAAAGAAAACAGTACTCACTGGCTTAGTATACATCTCCTCATCAACAGAGACCCACTGAGAGCAGGGATTGCACCCCAACAGAAATCCATTATGTGGCTCTGGATTCCTCATCCCCTACTGTTGTCTGAATTCAACTGAAAGACTTCATCTCCCTCAGCAACTGCCTGCATGACCAGCTAGGTCTATCTAGAGTTGCAGAACAGCACACACATCAAACTGCCCGTTCCCACTTCTGCCAGCACAGCTTCATACACGGAGGACAAATAGAGGAGCACAGAAAGAACAGAGAGCTTCTCCCAACACACACTTTAGCTCAAACCAGAGAACTGGCTGCCTTGAATAGCTTCTCCTAGTTACACAAGACTCACAAAGCACAGAAAAGCTGAAGTGAGAAGCTGCCAGTCACTTCAATAAACTTCATGGACTTCCAGCCATTTCTGTCAGCAGGTGGAGCAGCAGCAGCACTAAATATGGAGAGGTAAGTATCTCCCTATATTTGTCTGCTATCTGCCAAAGTAAGATTTGTCTCTTAGTCACTGTCTGCTGAAAGGACAGAGAAACTATTGCTGCTCTTCCCTCCACCGGGAAATGAAAGAAAGCAATCAGAAACCTCTGATAACCTAATGGAAGGCCGACAAAGGCAAAGAACAAATTTCTCTCACCCTGACAAGAGGGGTCCATTTGTTCCACAACACATCTGTAGAACTTTACTTACAGAAATCCTCAGACCAGAAAAAATAGCATATAGAAAATCACCACAATGGCACTATACCTATCAGAAAACGCTATGTGGCTTGGATCTTCTTAACGTAAGAGGTCTGACTGACAGCTGTCCAGTCATAATAGAGGTTCAGAGCAATTCAGTACTCTGAACAGGAGACTAGATCAGAACATGGGGATTTTGAGCTCTGTATAAAGAATTCTATGCCAGCATTTCCCAACAGAAGTCAATGCATCTGTTTCAAAAAAAAAAAAAAAAAAAAAGGAAACATGTCAGCGATTGAAGGTATCCAGGGTAGACAACTGCCTAAATGTAAAACGCCCTCTCTGAGAGGTCAGCTTTGGTAGTCTCTCCCTTGTATGTTTTTAGCATGCACCACTCAATCTGTAAAAAGTGGGGATATGCCGTGATGATTTAAAGGAGAATATATTCAGTCCTTTCATGAGTTACAAAGGACAAATGTTTCCAGTCACTTTCATTATAATATAATTGTCGCTCTACAGTAAGAAAAAAAACTTGACTGAAAAAGAGTTGGCTAAAACTATGTCCACTTACCAGCAAAAGGATAGAATGGTATTTGAATTAAGACTCAAATAAACTTGAAGTTCAACAAGCTTACTCTTGAAAAGACAATTATATTACACAAGATTGTATTTCGTTGGTCTTTTAAAACTCAAATTTACAAATCTGCACCTGATTCAAAGTAAACTTAGAACTCATGATTCTAGACAAACAGAGGTACAAAACTGTGCTGTTGGATGACATATACTGAAGTTTTAGACCATGATTTGTTATTGCACACTTAATTATTAACTTTAAGTGAGCAGTGAGAAGAAATGTCAAATGCTATGAAAAGTATAATTTATTTCTCCTGACAGATATTAATTGGCCTGTAATAATGACTTTTGGAACTATTACTAATGAGGAAAACAGCCATCCCAGCACGTCAGCAATATCTGTAGTGAGGAGACAGTCTTCCAGCCATTAAAAAATGGGAGGGAGGGGGAATATCACACCATAAGACAAGAAAAGCAGTTTCTCAAAGAGGATGTTTATGACTAAATTTCTAAATTGCTGCCACAGCACAGTGGGGGAGAAATTCTGAAAGTGCCTCCAGCAGCTCTGCTCTATGATTAGCCTCAGCAGCTATCGGCTAACTGGAGCTTGTGTTTGTGTTATTCCCCTAGGGTCTAGTCATTTTGTTATACAGAACCAGGCAGCTAATCAGGGATCCTCAGGGAGAGCGAGATGTCCTTTGAGCAGACCAGCTCCTTTTCTTCACTTTTTTGCAGGGCAGAACAGTGGGAAAATGGTCAAAATATGTTTTCCATTATGCTTTTATCAAAAGCATAAAGATAGGACCATATTAGTTTAACTTACAAAGTATACTAAATATCGTATACAGTTTCCTGTGGTATGTAAATGAAGCCAGGAATGTAGCAGTTATGCATAGGTACATTTCCGAAGCAGAAAGAACTTTTGTAATTTCAGTTAGCCAGAGTAAACGGACAATTCAAGAGCTATACAAACATATTATGCCACTGTTTCACTGTTTTAAGTGAAGATCAAAAGCCTCTATGCTACGATAGTGTTTATCTCAGTACTGACCATTATCTTGAAAGACTCCTGTGGAAGCTGTTACTCCTACTGTCTGTTTTACTTTTGTAGAGTTGTTAGAAAAGTGTCGTCTGGACACAGAATCCTCTGGATTCTGGCTTTTTTTGTCCTTTCCTTTGGGAGGCTGAGGTGAGGAACTGTTTTCTCCCGGGTCACTGGATCCAACAGTAGATTTAGATTGCCGATCATTTCCCTGAAAAGAAGTGTACATAATTATCACCGATGAAAATGAAAAAGTTTGTTTTTTTCATTTCAATATTATTTCAACCTTTTAATACTAAGGATTAGCATCAGGTGTTAAAGAAGCATATTAATTTACAATCAGCACAGTTAAGCAAAAGTTTAAGCCAAACTGTAACTATCTCATCAACTTCCTATATGATCCAACTGATTAAATGCTCCTCAACAACTCCCATGGGAAAATAACACCTTTATTATAACGAAATAGTGCCTCGTTTGATGAAAAGAATAGCTAGGTGAATCTATACATGCATGCATATGATATACTGCTATATCTCATCTATGCACATGTGTGGAAAGTCACAAGAAGTAACATAACTTGTGAATAATTCATTGCCTGTGTAAATGAGACATGGGCATTAATTTAAGTGTCAAAAGCAGCTAGGAGAGGATGACAGTCTTCGTGTGGCAGTAACACTGATTGCCAAGTGGAGACTAAGAAAGTGGTCTGCCAGCACATCACCTCTGAATCACCTCCGAATCACCTCCAAGGACATCAGCCAGCTCCTCTGCTTGCTCTGTGGTGTATCTAGAAATGGGACCAGAAACCTACTCCTTATTTTTACAGCTTTGACGTATGTATGACCCTGGGTGTACTAGCCAGAGAGTTTATTATTTATACACATTTTTCTTCAGTCTAAATCTGTTCACAATCAACATCATAAAAACCTGAACTGTACATACCAGCCCTTTAGGGTGCTTTTTATATCATTCTAGGCTGTGTAAAGACTTTACCAACTAAACACCCTCACTGTTGCCTCTCATTAGAGGCTGTCAGCCTCCTACTTTTGCCAGTCTAACAGTATGTGTAGTTTCTTCCTAATCCAGTTCTATCAAAACACTCCATATAACAAAAAAATACTCAAGCAGATAGGGCAGAAAACCTTATCAGTATCTGGAACTGTTCACCTTATCACAGACTTAGTTAAATCACGGAAGACAAATACATTTTACTTCATTGTTTCACTTGGTGTAGCTGCATGAACAATTCATCCCATTTTAGAACTTGCCCACCGGAAAGGACTTCCATTCTGCAATGGTCATGGTCAATTCTTTTCACCTCACTGCTGAAGCTAAAAGGTAATACTATATAAAATTAAAATCTTTCAGAAAAATAAGTCCTGAACAAAATCCTGCATCTCTTTAAAAAATCCTGCATATATTATTATATTTTTATGTGATTCTTCTCGTTTGCACATAATCAGTAGAAATCAGTTCTGTTTAAAATATCTTACTTAAATACCATCTCGTTTTTACCATCTAATCTACCTTTTATCTACCAATACCATCAAATCTACCACTTATCCTTTCTCTACAGAGACAAATGAGGGCACGTCAATATTTCAGCCTCTTCTAATTCAAACTGGAGACTGTTACTCCCAAGCAGTAATAGTGAAAAAGTGTAGATATCAAATGGAAGCAAACAATTACATGATTTATACTGGTTCAAGTGTTGCATTAGGTATTTAAGAGCAGGAGTACATATTGCTGCCTCTTTAAGTTTTGATACTTGTTATCAGTGTGTGCTACAATCCCAATGGAATAAAAGTGAATATCAAATAATTTTCTGTATAGGCTGTTAAGTAATAGTAGAAGAGGCAAGAATTTAAAACTGCCAATGAGTTATATTTACAAATGCTAGAATTGCAAAGCTCACATTTTAAAAACAAACACCACTTGAAATAATGTTCTTTACTGAGATTTTATCTTGTACTGAATTTCAACAGAATGGAACAGAGACTTGTGTATTTTATTGCTTATTTTGTTTAGTGGCTCCAGGCTTTTTCATTTTGTAAACAGTGAATGGACATGATCAACTACCACAATTATAATGACAGACTGTGAGTCTGACTCTCCGCTGTCTTGTACTTGTACTGTAAATTGCACTTGTAAAGAATCGGTGCAAACAGATACTTATATTCTGATTTGGCACTGTTTTAAATCCACAGTGGACTCATTTTGTACACATATAAACAGCTATACAGGATATAAAGCAGGGAAGGCTCAAGCTCTGTACTTAATGGTTAGCTAGGGCAAAACACATCAGAAGGAAACTGGTTTAGGGCCTTATTCAGAGTCGGCATTTTCTGCAAGACGTTTTGTAAAAGGTCCTGTGTTTTTCCTTTAGGTGTATAATTTGAATAAATAATTTAACAAATAAAGAAAGATCGCTGACAAGGTTTATGGGAAAGACCTCAAGGCAGCAGTTGATCTTTGCTATGGAAGATTTTATAAAAAATAAAGCAGCCATTATTGCAATAATATTTTCTCAGATTTCTTTTGTCTAATTGACACTGCAAATAGCTACGGATTCATCAAGCTTTAATAAGCATACCACCAGGTGGCTGTGGATTTTTTCTCTTCAGATTTAATTAAAACCCAAAGGACAGGGACTTTCCATCTGCTGGAATTAAGCGAAATTAGAAACAAACTTTATTAGAGCACTTAATACTTACACTGCCTTTAGACTTTCGAGATCCCACAATCGGAGGTAGCACAGAGGTTTTGGAACTGCAGAAATAAACCATATCTTAGAATTGTGTACACTGTCACTATCATACACGCTATGCATCTATAACCAAGTCAGATAACACTAAGTTGGCTATGGCAACACAGTTAATTGTTTTATTCATTGCACATTTTACTAAGAATCACTCATTTCTGTTCACTAGGCTATATTTAAATGCATAATCATTAACTTATTCAAATACATTACATTTCCCCACAATGCATATTTTATATATGGAAAATTTGCAGAGTAGTATTCAGTGAATTACTATGTGAAAGATCCTTACAACTATTATAATGAAAAGTTCCAGCATTTTAATAAAATTCTGTTTACATCAGTTGATCCACATAGCTTTTCACTGTCCTTAAATTCCTTAGTTACAAATGCTGTTTCCCAAAATACTTTCAAATTATTCACATTGTCTACATTACACTCCAGTTTATATGCAGAATATGGGAAAAATTCTCTAAATTACACCAATTTGTGGGACAAATTTCCATTTCTTTCCATTTATTTCAATGAAATGGCCCCCAATTTTTATGTTTTCCAAAGACATTAAAAGCCCAAGTTTCTCCTTACAGAGACCAGGTTTAGGACTCTATTATGTGATAATTCTAGCCTACAAAAAATAGATCCAAACATAAAGCATTCTTAAGGGAGTATATATTCCACAAAACATTATGAAGCAGTAGTAGATCTAGATTGGTGTAGCTGCACCTAATCTCATTCAGCTGTACACATTTATATCCCAGAAAAAAAAAAAAATAAGCCAAGTAAAAAAATAATCCTTTCTCCGACATTAATTTTGTGATATATGATCAATGGCATGTTTATGAGGTGAAATAGTCTTCTGAATTTCCATTTTCTCTTTTGTTTTTGTTATCTCAACTTTCTCAGAAGTTGTCAATAAAGTTTTGCATCCATACGAACACATCTATCCATCCCTTGTTCTTCGAATGATGATTTGATGCTTTACTGGTGGTACTTTGTAAACAAATTGACACACAGAAGCACGTGAGAAGTATATCTCACGCCTATAGAACTTACCCCTGTGGCCTTCTTATTGTAGATTTGCTAAACAGCAGGTCACCATACGGCAACTTCTTAAACTTTTCTCTACCCACTGCAACATAAATTTGCCCGTTCTCCAAGTCTGACCCATTCTGAACAAGTTTTCCATCTAAAGTGTAAAGTCTGAAAAATATGAAAATGCTTAATATTATAAACCTTATCATTCCGTTAGGTGTACTAAGAGCATTGAAAGCTACATTAATCTAAACTCACTAAATCATGTTGAATTTGCAGATACGAAACCCAATAAAGTACAGTGGATATCATATAATGATCAGTCGCTGCATAACAAACAGAAGACAAGGAAAGAAAGAGCAAAATAATGACCTAAATAACAGTTTATATAAAACTAATGAAGTATGAAGTCCTATGACAGATTAAATATTCTCATAATTTCTAAAATGAAATAAATTGCTTTGTACTTAGAAGGTCTTTAACGGCTTTCCCCTTATACCTTGGAAGGGATCTATTCCATGACTTCCTGACCCCTCTCATACCAAGTTCCACTGCCCATCTGTGCTCTGGGCACTATGCAGTGATCTGGGAAGAACAGGGCATTCATGGCCCCACGACTGAAAACCAAGGACCTGTCCACCTAACACAGACCAAGTTGCACCAATATTGCACTTTTATTGTTATATTGTATAGATCACAAGGTTGGAACATGGCTGTACCTGGTGGGGTAAGGCTGGAAATACAATAATACATTCTAACAAGAAGCTGTGTATCTTAGGCACCTACAATACAAATAATTAATGTCTATTACACCAGGTAGATTTTTACCACAATAATTTCTGTTTGTACACTTTACCGAGAAGGAAGAAATGCATTAGGGACTGGGGTGGGGGGGAGGGGGCGTAATTGTAAATGAAGTAATTGTTGAGTTTATGATTTTATTTAAGGGTGGTCAAAACAACGAGGAAGGAGGAAATATTCAATAATAAATAAGCTCTTTCCTATGAAGCATATTCCAAAACTCAACAATATTTATATTTAATTAAAAAGTTGACATTAACAGTTTTGCATTTAAGTCTTAAGTGCAGGAATGTCGACTTAATTGCCTTTCTAGAAGCATTCTACAGGAGCTACTATGTGTGTGATTCATAAATTTCAACACAATGCAAGGAGGTATAAAATGACATATACACCTATACGATGAAACTTTTAGGAAGAATATCAAGAGCCTTCCTTGAGAACACCCCTGACTTATAAAGTGCAAAAATTCTCAGTTTAATAGAGAAAAAGCTGCTGCTTAAATTCATACACATGGTGGCACAACCTTGAATAAACACAGAAAAAAAAAGATGCAGCTTATAGAACCAGGAATCACAGAATAGCTGAGGTTGGACACGATCTTTGGAGACCACCGAGTCCAACTGCCCTGTGCAGAGCAAGAGCAACTAGAGTAAGTTGCTCGGGGCTGTATCCAGCTGTGTTTTGGATAACTGCAAGGATGGAGACTCCACAACCTCTCTGAGCAACCTGTTCCAGTGTTTGATGATCCTTACAGTAAAAATGTTAGGTTTTTCTGCTGTTCAAGTGGAATTTCCTGTATTTCAGTTTGTGCCCATTGCCTCTTGTCCTGTCACTGGACACCACTGAGAAAAGCCTGGCTCCAGCTTCTTCACTCCTTCCCACCAGGTATTCATACACATTAACAACATCCCTCTGAGCCTTCTCTTCTCCAGGCTGCAGAGTCCTAGCTCTCCCAGGCCTCCCCACGTGACAGGTATCTTCAAGCCCTTCGTCTTCGTGGCTCTTCGTTGCACTTCCTCCAGTGTGTTCATGTCCTTCTTATATTCCCCTCATGAAAGTACCTTGATTTTCTAGGTGCCTTCTACCTTGGTTTTCTAAGCACAAAGACTGAACATTCTCAAAGGTGAAACTGCAGCTTTTTAAAATCTTGATCACATTGCTGCTTCCTTGCAAAGAGCTATACTCCTTTGTACTACTCATATTTAATTTTTAGCAGAAACATTTCACAGGCATGCCAGCAATTTAAAGGGCAATTTATGTTTCACTATCACACAGACGACATCAGTTACACACAAACAATGAAAATAAAACAAGCAATCTAAAAATCAGCAAGAAGCCTATTTCTGAATTAATCTCACTGTGTTTTGCTAGATTACATTTTGCTTTGGGGAACTCAGGGGAAAAAACAGCAAACCAGTGTACCACAGTTTAAGAACTGTTTTATCTATTTGTATGGTGCTGTAGGTATATAGGGATACATACAAACATGACTGTGGGATTTGTTCCCAATCTTTCACTTCGCTTGTGTTTCAATATTATATTTAATTCTCAAAAGCTGTTTGCTTAATAGCACTACTGAAAATGTTATGGACAAATATCTGGCAGTCTCTAGTTGTATTTTTCACCCTGAAAATAATAACCATAATAACTGAATCAAACATAATCAGTCACTGAAGATGAAAGTGAAATTAAAAATGTATTTTAAAAAAATGGAACTTCAAACAAATAAATGACTATTGACTTAAAAAGCATCACACAGATTTTGTGACATTTACTTCTGAAGTCTTCTACCCACCCACCTGGCCACAACCATTCAAAGAAAGACCGGCTGGGTTCTCTCTGGCTAGTATTATGCAATAAAAATGTCCTTGTGGTCACTTCTTCTGGTCACTGGGGGATGACCCAGGGCTTGTCCTGTGGGATGTCAGTGGACTTCCATTTTCCCTCCTGAAGCCAAGCCAAAAAGTGGCAGCCAAAACAAAGCAAGCATACAGGCTGACAAGGGAGACAGCAAAGACACAACTTGCGGGACCAATTTCTTCAAATTCCCAGTTGCCCATGCACCAGGTACCTGCCCATCAGGTTGCTTTACCCCATCCTCATGCACAATCTGGCAAGCAGAAAAACTACTTTCTCATTGTCTTCTCTCTCATATTTCTTTCTTACATCCCTATTCTGATGGGGATGATCAACAGTTTTGTTTTTTTTTTTTAAAGTCACATGTGAAACTGCGTAAGACTTGGCAGCTTTGTATGTCTTTTAATAACATAGAAAAGAAAAACTGCCGTATACATAATGCAGGTTCTCGTAATTCCACTTATCCTTCTTTAATGAGAAATTATATCTTCTTAGCATCAGTGGTCTTTCAGAACCTCCCCTAATGCTAACACAGTTTCAGTAAACCCCAGCAATTAATATGTAACTTATTAAAGAACAACGATCACTTTACTAACGTATTTAATACGTATTTGTAGCATTTTAAGGAAAAGAAAATGAAAACTGGGTTAATAGAAAACCAGAAAAAGGAAAACATTAAATAATTCAAAATGTCATGTACATTATCTTATTTTTCAGAGGATTAAAACTGTGCACTGAAGCGAGCTTCTCAAAAGCAGTCCTAGCTATGTACAGAATGATTTATGCTTTCATGTACATCATTCAGTTTCACCAAGGAGTGACACCAAGTAATGAGAATAAAATGTGAAAGGTTTTTAGATTGCTAAACAACCTGAGAGCAGAAAGAATTGGTATGTTGTACACAGTTGTTACTTTGCTCTCTTCCAATTTACACTAGCTGAGAATCAGACCCAGAAAGCTTTAACACGTGTGTAGGTTTACTTTACTGCAAGTAAAAGTGCTAAGCAGCCAGATAACAGGAACAAAAAAACGCAAGGCTGAGAGGAAAAATTAGATGAGAGCTCATAGCCAACAGATAGCATTACCTTAATCTTTTATCATCTGGATCAGCTCTGGGAAGGCAATCAGAAGAACTGAAAGACTATTTTATCTTCACCGATTTGATAAAGATTTTGCAAGCTTAGCCTCAAACATTGCGTAGGCTGTGAAGAATGATTTTCTACAAAAGGCCCTTTCCCATTTGAGGAACAGATTTCTGTAATGTGCTCTGCATGGGGTAACACTGGAATGTCAGTAATTTGCCAGTACACACCTTGGCAGGCTGCTTACACTGCAATGTTTCTCATGGAAACTGCATAAATCATTTTGCTCTAAAACTTGCAACAACCACCAAATCCTATTTTAGAGAGCTTATTTTACATTGTAAAAGCCTTAAGGGACCGAAACTTACCTATCAAAGAGGTCACATCCTATTCCTGGGATACCACAACAACTCAGACCAGTCAAGCTACTGGAACTGGCAAACCCTCAACTACAACTTTGGTCTTGGCTCTTATTAGGAGGCTGAGCTGGCTAGCTCAGCACATCCTAGTCATAGCACAGGTCTTCAAAAACCAAAGAATCTATAATATTTTCCTTGAAATTGTTTGCCCCAGTGAATTTAAAGAACTATTAAAACCCGAGGATACTGAGGGAGCTGGCGGAGGAGCTTGCCAAGCCAACTCTCCATCATTTATCAGCAGTCCTGGTCAACCAGGGAGGTCCCAGATGACTGGAAGTTAGCAAATGTGACACCCATCTACAAGAAGGGACGGAAGGAGGATCCAGGGAACTACAGGCCTGTCAGCCTGACCTCGGTGCCGGGGAAGGTCATGGAGCAGGTCATCTTGAGTGCCATTACGCGGCACGTGCAGGACAACCGGGGGATCAGGCTCAGCCAGCATGGGTTAACGAAAGGGGGAGGTCCTGCTTCACTAACCTGGTCTCCTTCTATGACAAGGTGACTCACTTAGTGGATGATGGGAAGGTTCTGGGTGTTGTGTACTTGGACTTTAGTAAGGCCTTTGACACAGCCTCCCACAGCATTCTCCTGGAGAAGCTGGCTGCTCACAGCTTGGATAAGTGCACTCTGCGCCGGGTAAAAAACTGGCTGGACAGCCAAGCCCAGAGAGTGGTGGTGAATGGAGTCAAATCCAGTTGGCGGCCAGTCACAAGTGGTGTT